CGTAAAATTGTGAAGACTTTGAATATCCCGCCATCTACATTACAAGATTCAAAGAATCTGGAGAAATCCTTGTACGCAAGGTACAAGGCCGACGGTCAATATTGGATGCTCATGATCTTCGGGCCCTCAGGCAGCACTGCATTGAAAACAGGCATGATTCTCTACTGGAAATCACTGCATGGGCTCAGGAACATTACCAGAAATCATTGTCTATGAACACAGTTCACCATGTAATCCACAAATGCAAGTCAAAGCTGTATTATGCAAAGAAGAAACCCTATGTTAACAGGTAACAGGACCCGGAAACGCTGCCATCTTCTCCTGGCCAAAGTTCATTTAAAATGGACTGAGGCAAAATGGAAAACTGTTCTGTGGTCAGATGAATCAAAATTTGAAATTCTTTTTGGAATCCACGGACGGCGTGTCCTGTGGACACGGCACCATCCAGCTTGTTATCAGCGCACAGTTCAAAAGCCTGCATCTTTGATGATATGGGGTTGGATTAGTGCCTATGGCATGGGCAGCTTACACATCTGGAAAGGCACTATCAATGCTGAACAGTATATGGAGGTTTAAGAACAACATATGCTCCCATCCAGACTACGTTTCTTTCAGGGCCTTGTAAGACAATGCTAAACCACATACTGCAATACTGCATCCATCACAACATCATGGCTTCGCAGAAGAAGAGTCTGGGTGCTGAACTGGCCTGCCTGCAGTCCAGACCTTTCACCAATAGAAAACATTTGGTGCATCATGAAACAAGAAATCTGGCAAAGCTAGAATCCTACATCAGACAAGAATGGGACAACATTCCTCTCCAAAACTCCAGCAATTGGTCTCCTTACTTCCCAGACATTTACAGACTGTTGTTAAAAGAAGAGGGGATGCTACACAATGGTAGACATGGCCCTGTCCCAACTTTTATGAGATGCGTTGCTGCAATCAAGTTCTAAATGAGTTAATGTTTTTCAGGAAATGGTAAAATGTCTCACTTTCAACATCTGATGTGTTCTATGTTCTATTGTGAATAAAATATGGGCCTACGAGATTTGCAAATCATTGCGTTCTCTTTTTATTTACATTTATTTATATTTTACACAGCATCCAGACTTTTTTTTGCAATTGGGGTTGTATAATAAACATCATCATGAAGGAAATGCAGAACCATAACTTGTAAGGCTTAGGGACTGCTAAAGTTTCATAAGAATTCTACAGTAGAAGTGGGTATGTTATACCATAAAATGCTGTCTGCAGTTTTTACTAGGCTCTTACACAGCCTTCAGTTCATCACAGTGAACAATCATATGACAGTGAAGGGCTGATCTAAGCCATTTGGAGCATTGCATTACATCATGGAGGTTTGCTGCCTTCTTGACCATCGCATTGCAGTTAAATGAGCTCTAAATATTTCATTGAGAGGCTCATATTGCTGCTCACATTGCTGGAGGTCAGGCTTTTGGAAAGAGTTTGCAGTGGTGTAAACATCCAGCCTCAGGCACACACAGAAATATGTATTCTTTCCTTGACTGGAGTTTTTAAGGCGGCTGGAAAGTGCATCAGTTTTTAGTTGGTCTCAGAGGCTACAATGCAGACATTTATGCTGCTACTTTTCACCAGTTTATTCTTAAAACAAACAAACAAACCAACCCTGTCAAACCAGAACTCTGGTTCTGTGGAAAAAGGCCAGTACCATCCTGCTACAACCCCTGCTTGGGCAGATGGAAGTAGCTCCTTAAAAATAAGAAAGTTATGTTGAAGTTAGGGTTTAAGGTTAGCTTTCCCATTCATAGTAGCTAGTGTAAACTGTTTCTTCAAAATAAAAAGGTTTAAGGTTGGCTAGATGTCAATGGTAGGCGCTAATCATTACTTGTATTATCTGAAGCGATTTGCTATTCTGTGCTATTAGTTAATAGCTAATATTTCTTAATATACATGTCAGTTTGTCATCCAAAATGTTACTGGGGCTCATGCAGTGTTTACTCTCCTCACAACCACAGTCCGTTTTGTATAATCCAGGCAATTTTAAGAATGACCATGCATTTGCCACCATTGCAGATATAGAACTAGGGCACTGCAAAAGAGCACATCGTTTGTACATCCTGTGTAGAGCAGTAAATATTGATTCAGAGTTCAATATAAGTATCAGTCCATAACCTCAACACTCAGTGTTGAGTCCATTACATGTCTGCCATCTAGCGGTGGCAGAGAAATATTTATTTAAATGGGACCTGCTTATCACAGTTCGAACGTAAAAATGACAAAAGATTCTGTGAAAGCACTGCACATATATCTAGACATTTAAATCTTTTGATGGTGTGTTACTATTCAAGAAAGTTAAGCAACTATAATGATGTGCATACACATTTATCTAAAGGTTATTGCTACAGTTTATTGTACACAACTAGTATCTGCCATCTAGCGGTGGCAGAGAGAGAAACATTTATGTAAATGGGACCTGTTCATCTCAGTTTGAACATAAAAATTACATGATTCTGTGATAGCACTGCAAATATATATGTAGACATTTTAATCTCTTGGTGTGTCACTATTCAAGAAAATGAAGCCACTGTAATGTTTATACACATTTATTTTATTAAAAAAAGGTTATTGTTACAGTTTATTGTACACAACAAATTAAGAGATTATAATCCTATAGACAGGGAGCACTTGTCCTCTGTGACAGGCATGCCCACGTGACAATGCAAAGAAAAATGAAAACCATGAAAAATTCAAAGGAAAAGTGAATTCCCACAATACCTTGATTGCATTCATTAAAATAAAAATAAACACATAGCAACAAATATAAAGCATTTGAAGATCATGCTCTATGTCCTCCATATGCAATGCTTTTAAAGAACACACATGGGGAGGAAGGTGGATTCTACACTGAATGCATGCCAAGTGCCGTAAGATCCCACTTGCACTTTGTATTAAAGTACTTTCTTCATTGTATTACTTGACACAACAAAATCTTGGCCACTTTCAGATAGTGATATTCACCTGTAAAATCCTAACGTGTCCCCTATGGATTATGGCAAATCAATCAATTAGTAATCACACACAAGAGTGTACCTAAGTATCAGTAAAGCCTTTGAGAAACAACCCAAGTCAGAATAAAACTGCTCATTCTAAAACACAAGAGCAAATGTTTTTTTACAAGTTCTTTTAATTTTGAAGATAAAAGAAATCAAATTGTTCCTGTCAAGATAAATTCCAATTCAGTTTTGCGTTTTCAGTCTTCTAGCTGACACAGTTGAGAGGGGAGGAGATGTTACTAAGCCCCTTTGTGTACTTGGCAGCAGTCAGAAGACCGTGCTCTTCCTTTTCTGTCAGAAAACAAGTGTGTGTGTGTGTGTGTGTGTGTGGTGTGTGTGTGTGTGTGTGTATACACACTTGTGGGTGTCAAAGGGTGCTGAGTTGCTAATTTCTGTACCCTTCCACTGTAAACTCTGTATTTTATCTATTGGTCAAAAAATGAAGGAGTAGTAGAAGAAGAGGATTTCAGAATTATACTTTAGCATCAGAAGCACACAAACATGTTTGAGAATGTTGTATTCTTTTGTCATTTTATTCACACATCAAAACAAAAACTAAACTAAAATAAATAAATAACATGCACTCCCATCTTTTTTTTTTTTCTGGGGAATAAAAATGTAGTCTGGATAGAATAGAGAAGTTTGCATTGTAGCTAACAGCATACAAACAGGCAGTGTTATGTGTGGGGGAAATTGTTAACCATGACAACAAAAGCACTGCTGTGAGCAAATATATGTTTGAGGGAGTGTCAAACAGAATCACTATTCGCAAAACAGGGCTACATAATATAATCTCTGTTAAGTAGCTCATCTTCATGAAATACAATACTGCATAAATGGGAGACTATTTTTCTTTCAAAAATGGAAAACAAAAAGACATAGTATTTACTACAAACTTTGGCAAAAAATCTACAAAAGTTTCCTTTTAACAAACCAATTGGATTTTTTGTGTCAGTTATGGGAAAATGAAAATAAATCACTATAACTTGTTAAAGAAAAACAAGCATAATGTGTAAAGGTCCTCCCCTTATATCACTTCCTATAACCAGATATCATTTTGTTGTTTAATCAGCTGACATTTTTGACAAACAGTACATTCTAGTGCACAAACTATATCAGAATACTGAAACAAACCAACTACTTAAACTCACCCCATTTGCAAACTTCTTTATGTTTACAAAGATGTATCATTACAAAATTAACAAGCAACAAAATTTGTACTCGGCAAAGCAATTTACATGTCCAAAGAGCGTGTGCATGTACACAATCGATGTGTATGTATGTTGTGCGTGTATATGTATATACACACACACACACTATACATACACACACACACACTATATATATATATATATATATATATATATATATATATATATATATATATATATATATATATATATATATGTGTATCACCATCCTACCAAGTAAACTAGATCTACAAGAAGTTAAACACCTTTTGTAATTATGCACACGAAAGTGAATGAATCCTACAAATGCTATTTTTGGTTCTCCCCAACAGTTCTAAATGAGTCAACACAACGCTTGTGCATCATGTAACAATAAACAAAAATATATGTGCTAGTATGTTTATGTGTGACAGTGAAAGAAAGAGAGAGACTGATTGATTCTATATATAAGATAAAACAAAAATGGGCCAGGGTGGTTATCATAACCCTTTTCCATGTTTTGTGCTTTGTTCTTAAAGACAGGTTCCTGTTTGTCCTGATCACTTCAATCACTTTATGACCACTCTTCGGGGCTTAAATGATCAGAGAAGACAGCTTCTGTCTGACTGCTCAATACACATGTATGTAAAATTCTTACTGAACAGCAAACCTTAAACAGAGGAGCATGTGAGAAACAGTGCATGAATAACAACATCCTACATACAAACCACACTGTTTAACTCACCCCACAACCTGCAATGATAGCACATGTACCCCAGTCATGTGAGGAATCTGTGTAGTAACAATGCACAAGTTTATTTCTGGAAAGAATATAGTCAAATTAGACTCAACTTAAACCTGGAAGAAAATGAAAAGTGCATCCATTTTACAAATATGGGGGAAAAGACAGTAGAGATTTCTTGATTTTTGATGTGTATCTTTAAAACCACTGAACAGTCTAACATTGTAAGCATTTCTCCATGTCTCAGAAACCAGTCCTTGTAGTGGTAGAGTTCTCTACAAAACAAGAAATGCTTGAGACAAACACAGACAAAATCCTTTCCACAAGAGTGCAATTTTGAAAATCAAAATGATTATTTGGGTTATAAACTTAAGTAGATTAAAAGATGAACAGGATAATTCTGCCTTTTATTACTAGACATGTATGCCTTAACATCAGCTTGTGTATGGCAAAATAATTTTGACATTAGTGTCACAAAGTGACTAAATCAGCCCCTTTAAACACAAGTCCTTTTTTGTCCTCCCACCCCCTCCCGAAAAAAAAAATAAAAACAATGAATATTTCATTGTGCATGTGACTACTGACACAAGCATGAGCAAATTTAAGTCTTGTGCCATGTCTGTAACTTCACCAACTAGAAGGCATGTAAAAGTGTGAAAGAGAGACTGGAAATAAACATTACTTTTTTTCCTTTTTTCCAAACAAAGCCAAAGAGAAAAAAGAAACTGAGTTAGTAAATAGAATTACTATGAATATCAGTAACAGTGAACAGGTCCTCATGGTGTAGCTTTCTCTTCTAGTTCTTTTTTTATGACAGAAAAAGCAGGAGTGATGGAAAAAAAACATACATTTTAAGTTCTATTAATCCTATGTGTCAAATAAACCTATTAATTAATACGTGGCAAAAAGGTGTGGCAGGCAAAAAAGTGGTTTAACAGGTCCAACTAACCTGTAGCAATGAAAGATACACTGCTTCTATAAATCTAGGCTGAAGGACTTGGTTGTGATTGAAACTACCAGTAGAGGATAACCCAGGAGCAGTCTCAGGAGTCCCAATACACATATATTCTGTCATTACAGAGCTCGGCAGGCTTGTACATTTTTCCGAGAACAAGAGGAATTTCAATAATAATCTGAATTTTTCAAATTAAAAGTAGTCTCTGAAAAACTTAAATTCTATGTGATTTTTTCAGTAGGGTAATTTACAGAACATGAAATCTCACGTAATACAATTTGCAAGACTGCACAACCAGCAGAATACAAACACACTATGATGACCACCTTTTACCAGTTTTGTGCTTCCAAAAATTGTTTGTCTGCATAGGGCTCTAGTACTGTTATATTGTTATGCATTATGTTTTAGTTGGTACTTCAGAACATTTTGCCAACATTCTGGATATGTAGAAAATTCCTGACCAAACAGAACAAACTGATCATTAAGATTCTACAAAGTGACTGACTGCGAAGCACAGAAAAAAATGCTGAGGGGCTTGAAGCAGGGTCAAATATAAAATACACAGTAGTGAATGTTTGTATTGTAGTCACACACACGCACACCAACATGGAATGTAGGAAAAGCACTACAAGCCTAGTTGTGGAAGGGGTGGTGGGGTGAGAGAGAGGGAGGGGGTGGAGAGAAAAGAAAAGAGGGAGGAGGGAAAGAGAGAGGGTCGAGAGGGAGAGGGAGGGAGAGGGAGGGAGAGAGAGAGAGAGAGAGAGAGAGAGAGAGAGAGAGAGAGAGAGAGAGAGAGAATCAAAGAACCAGCTAAACACCTAAAGAGGGTGATGTATTCATTATCAATGCTAGATATTCATAAAAATCCAGGTTTAGCAGAAATAATAATAATAATAATAATAATAATAATATAATAATAAAAATTGCCTTGTTTAAATATGAATATTATAGTCTGCTTCTCATGTTAGGAAATTATATAGTCTCTGCAATAAAGAAGAGGTGTGTTCGTTTTACACTACAACTCCATATCCTGTGCCTCATCTTCTGAGAAGTCAGACATGGAGCTTTCTGATGAAGAGTCACCCGCACCTTCCTCTTGCTCCTTCAGTGCCTCCTCTGTTGCATATTTTTGAATGTATTCTGTAGGAAGAGAGAGAGACAGCACATTAACACTAGAGGATTAGGCAAAAAAGGGTACTTTAGGAGCATCTTTTGGACCCCACTGTGATGAACACTTTTTTTTAATAGTTGATGAAACAAACCATTTAACAGGCATACAGTGAAATACTTTTACTATTATTTGGGAGTTGCATACTACATACTTTCAACATCACTGGAACTACATTGTAAACATGTGACCACTGGTTCCTATCCTATCACCACCACTGTAAAGAAATCTGAGATGTTTCTCTGCAATGAAGCATTTCAGATCAAATCACTCTGAATAACTTCTCAATTACTGACTTATGCCAGGTGATCGGTGAACATCAATGGTTGACTATCGCCATAGTTTGTGTGATGCGTTCTGCACCGTTGGCTTTAGTCAGCTCTCATCTGTTTTGGCTAAATGAGCATATCGCAACAGTCGGCTATGAGACAGAGCTTAGAATCAACGCACAAATGGAAAAAAGAAAGAAAGCAATGCAAGCAAACAGCACTCGAGAGCACGCAGAGAGTAGCTGTTATGTTAAAGAAAAAACACGGACACTTGAGAGCCCTGAATGTGCTCTGACGATAAACTAACAAAATAAAGCATGGGATATTCACATTAGGAATAGCTAAACATGGACATTTGAAGTTTAAGACATTCAAACAATATACATTCTTTACTTAGTATGCTAGTTTTACAGACTACCAACCAGAGAGTTGTTCCCTTTCATGCAAGCATATTAAGTATGTGTGTGCCAGCTGTCAGCTGCAGTCTTTGCAGCGTGTTTGAGCACAAACAGTGGGCTGAAGGATGGCAATCATCAGTCAGCCTTAGCTGGTGCTAGTTCTTCCCTGATGGCTTGGGCCCTTATAATATTATCAAAGTTGTATTTGATCACTGTCTTGTCTGCTGTGAATTTCAGATGCACAAACTAGATTCTGCAGTGCTTCCCCTACCATAAAATAGGCATGCTGCACTGCTTCTGATTTATAGAATGTTACATTTGTGTTTTTATGAGGTTGCTGGTCTTTCCCCCTTAACACAACTACCATGTTATATTTAGCTGTTTTTTCATTAAATTTAGTAAAGACAGCCCACACTTTTAAACGTTTTACCCTTTCAGCCATGACTGAAAAACATAAAATGACAGTGCTTGTTTGAAATGGTTAAGGTTAGCCAACCAGAGGCATGCAAATGCTTTCGTCTCATGGACCAGACCTCTCCTGCTGCTGATCCAATCTAGCACCAACCATTTAAAAATGCCAGCTATGTTAGAATGAATTAATGTTATATAAATACCGATAGCAGCAGAGCTTGTCTAGGGGCTTATCAATATTTCAATACTGGCCAGTCAGAAGCTGGTACCAATTTAGTACCAGTTCTTATTGTACATTCCTACCCAATTCCCGTTCAGATCTGATCATTGATATAGTGGTGTGATGCAGCAGTGTGATAAAGAATGTGGTAGAGGAGAGTTGGCTTGTGTTAGAGGTGCAGTGTCTAGCTCAAGTCTTCTACTGTCTAGTCACTTCTTGAGAAACATGGGATTAATCCTAATCATTAATTCATTTTTGCCTTTTCTGGGGAAAAAAAAGCACCTCAAATGAACTTGTGCATGCAGTGGAGGCAAACAATATTTCTGCAACGTTTCAATTTGGTTTTCGGCAGAAACATAACACAGAGCTTTTCTAAAAATGTTTAAATGGCATTCTAATGCACACTGATAAAGGGGATGGCTCTAGTCTGGTATTGCTTTTGATATTCCAGATACCAGTATCTTGGTGAACAGACTTGGCATATCAGGGACTGCTCTAAATGTGTTATTATCTTATTTATCAAACAGAAAGTGTTAAGCATCTACTGGAAAAAAAGTCCTCTTTCTGATCTTACTTGTGGGGTGTCTCAGAGATCCATTTGTGGCCCTATTTTATTTTCACTTTACATGCTTCCCTTGGCTTTTTAATTAGATGTTTCAATATTTCTTTCCATTTTTATGAAGATGATGATGCAGATGTTAATATAATAAACAGGTTGTTGGCCCTTACAGTGTCCTGTGGGATTCGCAGGTAGCTCATTGTCTGCTCATATCAATAGCTTTATTTTTGACTCTCAGTTAAATTTTTGAATGCACATCAAAAAGCTTGTCTAATTCAGTTTTTTCCAGTTAAGAAATACTGAGAAAATGAGACATTTTTTACTTTCAAGACACAGTGAGGATTATTCATGCATTAGTGTCAGTTCACTTGGACTGTAATGATTTATTTGTTCGCCGCAGCCAAGAAGAGAAGAGGGTCACATTATCCCATTATTTACCTCTCTCCACTGGCTGCCAGTGAAAATTAGAATTGATTTTTAAAATTGATTTCAAATTCATGCCAGGCTGTACTTGGTGAAGCTCCTGAATATATTTGTGAATTGTTAGCCATCTATACAAGCATCTGGACTTTGCTCTTACTCTTATGCTCCTAAACGGTCTTCCCCTTGATATTAGACTCCATTACAACTTTTAAAAGACTGCTTAAAACCTATTTTTATTCTTTAGCTTTCACGAGTCTCACAAGTAGTGTGCTTAATTGTGTTTATGTTGTGTTTTTTGTTCATGATGTTTTTATTGTTTCCATTAGTTTCAGGTGGTCTTTTTTAATTTTGTTTAAATATTCTTTTATCAAGCACTTTGTAATCTTGGCTCAGAACACCTATATAAATAAAGTTTACTTTATCTTTCAGACTCAAAAATAAGACCCACATGAAATTAGTCCATGCTTTTAGAGCTTCTAGAGTACACTACTGTAATGTATGACTGACTCTCTCTATACAGCCCCAACTGACTCAGAATGCAGCAGCCTGTGTGCTTATACACAAAACCTCTGAGCATATTACTCCAGTCTTATTTTGTGTAAACAGGTTTTCTATCAAAAGCCATGGAGACTAAGTTTTTGCTTATGACACTGACAGCCCTTAAAAGCCTCACACAATCTTCCAAGTGTTACAGCCTGTCAGATCACTTTGCTCAGCTGAGGCAAGCTTTCTGTAAACTTCTAGGAACACTTACAGTTCAGTTGGTGAAAAATCCTTCTCTTTTATGGCTCATAAACTCTAGGAATTCAAGCTTGATAGGTTATTGAAATATTTGGTTGGGCTTTTTTCTTTAGGGCATTCGGAACGTATCTCTTGCTATGCCAGCTGTGTATAGTTATACAGCATAGTTTGTCACTCATAGATTTGTGTCCAAAACAACTCCGCCATGTCCAGTTGAGGTTTTTGCTGACCATTGTGGTACTGGATGGTATTTATTGGGAGAAGTTTCAAATAATAATCAATCCTAATTATTTACACTGGCTAGTAGACAAGTAGCTTGGTAACACAAATAGAGGGTCATCAATTAACAGCTTCAGCCCACAAATCCTTGCATGTACAGTTAAATTATTTCTAACTTTTATTTATTTTTAAATAAAATAAACTACATAACCAGGCTCTACAGTCAGATGAGACAAAACCTAGACTAAAAAAAAGACAAAGACTATTTTGTAAGCAAAAACAAAGGTGGGATATTGTTAAAAGAGCTATGGTCATGCAGAAAAACTAAAACCCACTGAAAACCTGAGATGTCCGATAAACAGTTTACAAGGAGAACAAAATTCTAAGCTAACTGGAGAGATTTTTTGTGTGGAGGAATGATCTGAGATTTTTAAACATGGCCTAATAAGCTGGAGCTTCGTAACACCCAGTTTGGCAAATGCACATGCTTTTTGCAGCCAGCAAGGAATCTTTCCATTCTTGTGTGAAGAATTTTCACCCACTCTTCTTTGAAGAAGCTTCTAGTTCTGTGATTTTGCATGCAGTTTTCTTAACATCTACCTGCTTATTGTCAGCTTCAGTTTCTTGACTGTGATAACTGTTTTCAGAATATGCTACTATTTAGTGGAATCCACTCTTACATCATTTGGTGACTGTAACCAAAGAGTTCTATTAATTCATTTGTCCACAGCATGTTGTTCTGCATACTTCAGATACTGACTTATGATCAGCAACTGCCATTTCTTTATGACATTTCAGGTAGTGGAAACTGGAACCGCTCATCTTTTTATAGCCTTCCCCCACTTTGTAGAAAACAATTAGCTTTATTTTAAGATTCTTAGCCAGTCCTGAGACTTAACACCTACAACCGTGTCTGAATTTTTGCATATGCCACAATTACCATTTTATTTTTGAATTCTGTGGTTAATCAAATAAAAAGTAAATTTTTGCAGAGAAAGGTTTTTGGCTGGGAGCGCCCAAACTTTTGCATACATCTGTATCATTAAGATCGTTGATATTTTTGTTTTCTGGAATCTAAATTAAGATTAAACCGGCAGTAAACTTCAAAAAGAAAACAACGCCTAGGTTTGAGTCCACATGGTGCTGTAGGTTACCAGCTGCTAAGCAAAACTCCTAATCTCCACATCTTTTGTCCTGAAACCTCCCCTGACAGTGACTGGTCCATATGTCAAATGGCTGCCTGTGCAACTGCAATTCTTTTGTTGTCTGTTGTAGACTGCTGGCTTAATTGCGTATGGCAGTATTTAAAAGATTTATAGTAAAGAACATGCTCAACTCTTGTCTAGTCAAGACTGATAGTTATGCAACAAGAAAGGGTCAGGCCCCATGCATAGCGATTCCAATCCAATCAGAAGTCCACAGTATATTGTTAGGAACCATTTTAGAAAGAGCAAGATATAAAAAAAAATATATATATATAAAACATTAAAAAAAACGTAAAACTGGTCTACAGGGTCCAAGCATAGAAGCCTCACTTTTGCAATTATTTTTACAGTACCACCTTTTGATCTACATCCGTCAGTCTTTGCAGGCTGTTTCAACATGACACATTGGGTATCTCAGTCTTTTAACTGAGGCAGTAAAAACAGCTCAAAATTATGTCCAATCACTTGTATAATTCTTTGTTTTGGCAAAATTGCTTAGACCCAGACGTTGTGTCTCAAGACTTTAACTGATGTTTCTAGAATTCTCTTTCTCAACTTAAAATATTTTAATTTCAAATTAATATTTAAATTTTATCTAACATATTGAAAATTAAGCATTTTAGGCAAAAAAAAAACTAAGGACTAGTTCACAAAGCTTTTATGCTGCTTAAAATCTCAGTGAGTAGTGCTTAATAGTTCTTGAGGCATTTTTGTTTAGATTAAGAGAGTATACACCCTTTCCATGTGGCACTGTCAAAGGATGCAACCTTTCTAACAAGTCAGTTTGCCTTGCTGCTGCTTCCTTTGTGTCGGTTAATGTTGTGAACCCACATGCATTTCCCACTCCTCATATCGCTATGATACATCACATGATGAGAAATAAACATCGTGGAGTTATTCAGGATTACTGTGAGTGCGATGTCACATCTGGTGTGAAATGGGTTTTAGCGCCAGCAAAGAAAATTCTTAGTGCTACACCATATAATGACAATCTAGAGAATTGCTTCCAACTTTGTGGCAACAGTTAGGAGAAGGCTTTTTTTTCCTGTTTCAGCATGCAAACATCCCCTTGCACAAAGTGTGATCCATAAAGAAATCGTTTGCTAAGTCAAGTGTGCAAGACTGGTCCGCACAGAGCCCTGACCTCAACCTCATCAAAGACCTTTGAGATGAAGTGGAACACCAGCTACAGGCAGCAACATCAGCGCTACGCCTAACTAAAGATCTTGGTGCTTAACATACGTGAATCCCTGCAGCCATGTTCCAAAAACATGTGAACGCTGTTATAGAAAAAGGACCAACACCATTTTAATGCCCATGGTTTTGGATTGAGATATTCAGCAACTACATGCGGATGTCATGTTCGAGTGTTCACAAACCTTTGATGGTAAAGGTGTTCTGCCCATTTCACTCATATTTTGTAGTACATTATAAACATACAGTATCCTAAGATTTAACACCTATTCGATGGAACAGAATTTTTAAGCCACCTTCTCATGGAAACAAACACAACCATAACTTACCTTTGATTTTCTGCTTATACTCTTCTGGCCGGTGTAAGTACATGGCTGCAGCATCCCCATTCAGGGGATCAATGGGGTTGGGGTATGCCAGCAGCTGTGGCAGGAACGACTCAAAAATATTGGTGAGGTCTGTGAGGGATAGAAATGCACAATAAATAGAAAGTAAAATTAAATGTCACTGTAAAATTGCACCCAAGTGCAATTATTATGGACTTAATATATGAATACGAAACCATGTCAGTGAATCAGCATTGCAATTACACCTTAACAGCCAACCTATGGAAACCCATGTTTAGCAACTGTTTTGTTGTGTTTAGAATGACCACTGCAGTGGAAAATACTCGCTCTGAAGGCATAAACATACTTGGTATGCATAAGTATTTTCCAACATCAAAACATACAATGTTAATCAACTGTTTATTTAATTGTCCTATTTAATTTAATTTATTTAATATTTCCTATTTAATTATTCAGACTTTTGTGACTACTATACAGTCAGACTTATTACTAGTTTTGAGTGAACATACTAAACCAGAGATCATCAGGTTCCCTACTGCTGCTCTATAAGATTGTGTAGGGGCATTCAAATGAATATTCAGCAGTCATTCTATAGCCATATTCAATAGGCTGCCAAATACTAAACAGTTATTTATTAGTTGCACTTTGCATAGCTCAACTGATACCTCATGTTTTCAGCATTTTATTAAAGCCCCGTCCATATTAAAAGAACTGTCTTTGGAGTGTCACACAAACTAGCCTTTCATGTAAAAGGTAGTGGGCATACCTAAATAACTCCTGTAAGTTTCTGCTTCCGCTATTTTTGTAAATGCGTGCATAAACAGTTTTTAGAAATGCATTTTAATTGTACATCAAAAGCACCCAGTTAACCCTGCTAACACGTGGCCAATGATGGCCGAGTGACTTGCACAAGGCTTCGGTCAGCCAATCTCTGAATAAAACAGTTGAACCAAAATGTGTGGATTCTAATTTCAGCTGCCAGTAAAATGTGTGGCTTGCTGATAGAGAGTAAATATAACATGTCTAACAAGTGAAACAATCTTTCAGAAATCACTCATCTGCTGCCGGGTAGTGTCAGTTACAATACGATTTAATGTTACTCCAGGTTGTTATTGAGGAAGCAAACGTCAGAGATAAATATGGAAGGAACCACTGATCTCTTCGGGTGATCATAGCCTTTAGCCTTGTTTTAGCCTTCAGTATATCACCCTATTATTCGGGCCAGAGTGTCCACTAGCCCCGCCTGCCGCCCACCTTTGGCTCAGCATGAGTGACTAATATTTCCAAGCCTTCAGCACAGTTTGATGCTCAGAGATGTAGCGTGACTGTACAGGATGCACGAAGGAGACAAATGACTTGAGAAATTCAGATGTGAAACAACATTTAGCACTGTTTTTGCCATGCCAGAGAAGGTGTTGTGTGCTTATATGTACAGACCACAAGTTTATTTATTGTTCAATTAGGGCTGGGCGATAAAACGATAACGATAATTATCATGGTGTAACTTTTCCTCGATAGAGCGATACGACATGTTCGATAAATGTTTGATATAATACACCATTCTCACACTTCCACGTTCTAGCGAAAGCCTTGCTGGCGTTTTCTACTGCAAGGAAAGCGACACTACTCTGCTGTCGCCAGGAGAGGGCGCACTTCCGAGTTTTTCTACATGATTAGAGAGGGAGGGGGCCACGAGTAAGATGAGTCTTTAGCAACGGCTGAAACGCGGAGTTATGCATCCCTTGTCTGAGTGGAGCGACCGACGATCTGTTCTCTGTGACCGAGTGTGAGTGAGATCAGTGGTGTAACTGTACTGTCCTACAGCGAACTCACCTCTTTCTGTCCTAACCAGCTTTAGCAGCGTTAAATCACAATCACAATCCTCACAACTAAATCGCTGTTACAGCGCTCGGACAGTCATATTTAAGTATTAGTGCATTCCCAAGCAACGAAAGTGAAAGAAAGAAGTGAGTTCATGTAAATTACAGCCCTGATTTAAACGAAAGTAAACTAAGGAAGCTGTGAGACATTGGAGAGCGGGAGAGTGCTATCTCTCCAGGCTAGCTGTTTTTAGCAGCTGGCTAACTTGAAGCAGCGCTCCATCACTCACACAGCACGGAGAATTGATGATACTGTAGATCAAACAAGACACAAAAGCACCGCTTTCAGTTTAAACGTACCTAAAAAGAGGATTCTGTTTGTCTGGTGTTTATATTTTGCGGTTCACCACTTAACTACGATAGTATAGAGAAATCCAGACGTCGCTAGCTGGTGTCTGAACACTGTGATGTCATTTGTAACAGGGTAGCCGAGCCATGCTTTTCCAGCTGGTAAAAACAGCTCACCAGACACTTTCTCCCACTCTCCCATGACAGATTTGTGAAATGTTCCACTGTTTGGCGAGTGTTTGTCGTGTTCCGACTATAAAGGCTAGTTTAAAACAGTAACAACCCCCAGGACCAAAAATTTGTCTTCAAACTTGAAAGAAATAATGATTTGACATGTATTGCGGTATGTATCGATATCGAACGATATGAATTTTCTGAATGAGTTTATCATGATAACATTTTTGGCCATATCGCCCAGCTCTATGTTCAATTCTGTATTTACTTCGGTTGTTGCGTGTTATTACTAATTATAAAATAGTAAACACTAATTATATATAGTAAATAAACAAAAGCAGCATCAGAAATGGTTATAAATATATAAAGATAATACAGGTCAATGCCATTCATGCAAGCTTGGAATGTTTTATTCGTGACACAGAAGACAGATTTTGCCAAAATAAATATTTAAAGTGGAATTGTATAAAATTCAGCACTTATAAGATAGATTAGATAGAGTTCGTATCAGTATCCAAAAGGAAAAGTGCTATCGGTGTATCCCTGAAGTAAAGCATTCAATCGCATTCTGTATTTCAAGGGGTTACAGTTTTATGCACACTCCTACAGCGGCACCATTACCTGCTCTGCCTTGCCTTAACACACTGCCTCAAGTAGGCCACTCCTACCGAACATGCACACAAAGTGGAACTGTATACATACCATAAAGCGCGGTCCATGTCTGATTTATCACATCTAAACACACGGTCCCAGATCTGTAGTGGGGACAGACAGTTTCCAGTGCATTTCATACATAACATTTGCATTATACTAGCTGTATGACAAGCCGTCCTTGTAACAATGTTACTGAAGGTGACTGCATCAAAATAGAAACTGAAAGCAAATAATTAAATGACAGTATGTCATGATGTGAGGAGCTATATCAATATATCAACATTACTGTCACTGATGTGGAAGTTTGATGTGATGGTTTCTGCCTACTTAGGATAGCAAAAGATTGAGACATTTTTCTTTTAATGGTTTTATGCCAAGTCAGCTAATTGAAATCACTTGTTGCTTGACTTACACCTCCTTGTATCTACGCTTACTGTCCATTTCATCATCAGCTCCACAGCTGCACTTTGTAGTTCTACAATTACAGACTGTAGTCCATCTGTTTCTCTGCGTACTTTAACCCTGTTCTTCATTGGTCAGGACCCCCATGGACCCTCACAGAGCAGGTACTATTTGGGTGGTGGATCATTCTCAGCACTGAAGTAACACTGTAGTGGTGTGTTAGTGTGTGTTGTGCTGGTACGAGTGGACCAGACACAGCAGTGCTGCTGGAGTTTTTAAACAGTGTCCACTCACTGTCCACTCTGTTAGACACTCCTACCTTGTCAGTCCACCTTGTAGATGTAAAGTCAGAAATGACAGCTCATCTGCTGCTGCACAGTTTGTGTTGGCCATCCTCTAGGCCTTCATCAGTGGTCACAGGATGCTGCCCACAGGACGCTGTTGGCTGGATATTTTTGGTTGGTGGACTATTCAGTCCAGCAGTGACACATGTGTTGCTGCAGTGCTGCGAATGATCCACTACCCAAATAGTACCTGCTCTGTGAGGGTCCATGGGGGTCCTGACCACTGAAGCAGATGGACTACAGTCTGTAATTTTAGAACTACAAAGTGCACCTATACAGTAAGTGGAGCTGATAAAATGGACAATCAGCGTAGAAACAAGGAGGTGGTCATAATGTTATGCCTGATCAGTGTAGGTTGAAATGGCAAACTTGAACATAAAACACCATCATGGTTAACTTAAAAACATCAAGAATGCATCCAAACCTAACCTTTATCATGTGGATAGGCTCAATTTCTGACCATATAAAATTACATCGCTGTCATTTTCGGTTACCTGAACTTTTACATTATAAAATCAGTACGATAACAAAATTCATCTCTCGGTCAGGCCCTTGTTACTAACACACTTCAAACACAGCTACAATCATAAATGTCCAACTTACGCTTCATCAATGTTAGGATGAAAGATCTTATTCATGAAGCCTGCAGAAACAAAGAGGCAGGTACAGTCTAGATGTTTAACAAGCTTTAACTTTGCAATCTGGTCCATGAAATGAACTGCTTTCTTTTAGGGTGCTCTTTTCAAGTGTATCATTATTTGTTCAGTGGCTGCAAAGCAAAAATCACAATATCACTACATAGGAAATGTTATCTGGTGAGCACACTGCTATGGTAGTAGGTGGTATTTTACCTATAGATGGAGACTTGAAGGGGTATTTGTCCGGAAGATCTACTCTCACCTTCCATACACCCCCTTCATATGGTGCTGCAATGAGAAAAGAAAAATGCTTAGAAATATTGGTAACAAAAGAAAAATAGATTTAGGTTAGGGTTCAATTACACTCAGAGCAGTTCTCTGCAGAATTAACTGTATTTGTGTGCTATACGGTTAAATCTAAGGCACAGAGAGACCTCAAACACAGTTTGCACTTACCTACCAAAAATAGCTGGGACTTTCGAATATCAATTTATTACTAGCATAAATACAACCTGCAGCTACCAACAACTTAAATAAGCTTATAGCGTAAAAAAGAACAGTCACATATCAGGTATTTTTTATAATCGAAAGTGTTGCATCATGCCAGAGCATGAAAATAAATCAATCAGTCTGGAGTCAAAGCCAATTTGGAGAAATATGTGACTGCATGGTCTATTCACTAGTCCAGAGGTATTTAATTCTAGACCTGGGGCTCATTACAAAAGCATCCCAACTGTTTAGTCACAAGACACCTTCAGCTATTACAGAACAGGTTCATAACTACAGATAAGAAAACAGCATTACAGAAACATCCTCACTAGACAACATTTCCTAAATACTGTCCTAACTTTAGAACAACCCCAGTGGTGTCTTCTGTTTTTAACCTTCTGCTTCTGTCATTTTAACTGTTACAGGCAGCAGTAGTTCACTATAATTAGCATAATGATGTTACATTTATCTACATTGCAAAATGGTTTTCACAAATTCATATTACAGAAGCTAATACTGTCATAATTTGATCTTATTTTACAGCACCTTATCTCAAGTTAGGAAACCTTAATCTACTCAAAGTCAACAGTAATGTCTGTCACCAAGCAGCTCTCTGTGTACAGCTAAATCAAACACTGGATCAAAATAATGTTAAAAGTTAGCCAAACAGGTACTGTTATCAATGTAAAAGGTCAAAACAAAAATAAAGTGCAATACACCAGAAGTTAAGAATACTGTAACTGCACCTCATGCCGTTTATTAGAGCACTGCCACTCCCCAGTTTCAGTTTCCATTTCCCAAATGCTTTAGTTAACTGTGCTAACGTTATTCTATTTAACTCCTAATAACAGCAACATGTTTAACACTGTCTCCCAGAGGGGAACCGTCATGGCCCTCTATGCTCTCAGAGAGAGCTTAAGATATTCTAAAATGAATATTTAAAAACTGAGCAGTTCTAACTTTCTCTGATTATATTGTGACAATCAACATCTAAACAAACACAAAACTAAGCAAATAAATCCTTTAAATCTGTCTATTCAATCTGTATTGGAATGTGAGGGGTTAAATTAAAGAATCCCCTTTGTCTCCCTATCAGAATAGGGAATAATAAGAATTTGCCACCTCTGCTTTTGCTGGAAAGACTGTTGGTGATGGGTAGACCACCTATAAATTTACAGAGGTCCAAGCAATAGTAATTCAAAGAGAGGCCAATTTCAAATGACAGTAAAATTGACCAATCATATCTTCCTTCCAAATGGGTGGGCTTTGTTATCGCCAACTTTATAACATGTTCCTCTGTGAGGACAAGAAACTATAAAAAAAAAAGAAGCTAGTGAAAAAAGCTAGCTAGCTTGTTGGTTAATGATAAACGCCAAGAGAAACGTTACTACTAGGGGGACATCTCTGCAAACTTACTATCCATGCCGTTTTCTAGGTTAAGTTTTAATGAAAAGTAGTAGTTAATTGGCAAAGGAGGACCTATGTCAGAGTGTAGGTGCAACAACAACAATAAAGTTTTTGAAAGGCATTTCCAGCAGGCGCGGAGAGTGGGTCTTAGGGCCAAAGATGGATTTTGTGACTTCGGCGGTTTATCCAAGTCAGCCCATCGCCATCAGAATGCCTGAGAAGCAACTGTTGATGAATTTAAAGCAAAGGATCAGAAGGCCGAGGTTTAAGAGTCATGATTTACTACTGCTGTCTATTCATTAGTTACCGCCATCACAGAAGTGTTTCGTAACTTGGCCCCTGGATTTTATAGGAACTATTGAGTGAGTGATTGGTCACCTAGTGTTAAACTCTAGCCCATCTGCAGGAAAACACAGCAGTTGAGAACAGCACGCACACACACATGGTCCTTTATGAGGTCAGATTATGAATGCGAAAATGAATATGTATTTACCCATTTATTTTCAGGTAACTTTGCTGACCTTAGAAAAACAGCTAAGGACTTCTGACTAGTAGCTACCCTTAACATTTTAGCATTTGCTAGTGACATGATCAACTCCTGACTAATTAAAAATAAAGTGCACTTCACACTGCAGGAGCCACCAGCTCTAGAGTCCAGCAAAGTTTGGTCACCAAACTGTGCTGGACATAAGCTCTCCAGAACTGAAACTGATGACCCATCATACTGGATAGAAGTAGATGAATATTTGTCCACTGCACCAAAGAAGTAGCTGGATGAACTGTTAACTACACAATGAAGACATGTGCCACGAAATTACTGCTCATCTTGCACAATTTTCCATCTGCCGTGAATCATACAGTATCATGGCTTTAATCATGGCTTTAAAAGTATTTACAATGGCAACAACAGATTCTGCAGCAATTCTGTTAAAACATGACTTCATGCAGTAATAGCACTGGTGTCAGTCTATCTTTCAGTGTAACAGGTCAGTTCTTGTTTTCTTAATGTGACTTATTTTACCAATAGAGCTGGGCGATATGGCCAAAAATGTTATCACGATAAACAAAATTCATATCGTTCGATATTGATACATACCGCGATAAATGTCAAATCATTATTTCTTTCAAGTTTGAAGGCTGATTTTTGGTCCTGGGGGGTTAATTTCTGTTTTAAACTATTCTTTATGGTCGGAACACGACAAACACTCTGTCAAAGTGTCTGGTGAGCTGTTTTTATCAGCTGGAAAAGCATGGCTATTTTGTAATAGTCATAATTTAAGAAAGAAAACAGATTATTTTTAGCTGGTGACGAGCGCTCGGCTATCCCGCTATCACAGTATTCAGACACCAGCTAGCGACGACTGGATTTCTCTATACTGTCGTAGTAGTTTAAGGGGTGAACCGCAAAATATAAACACCAGACAAACAGAGTCCTCTTTTTAGGTACGTTTAAACTGAAAGCGGTGCTTTTGTGTCGTGTTTGATCTACAGTATCATCAATTCTCCGTGTTGTGGAGTGACGGAGCGCTGCTTCAAGTTAGCCAGCTGCTAAAAACAGCTAGCCTGGAGAGATAGCACTCTCCCGCTTTCCAATGCTTCCTCAGTTTACTTTTGTTTAAATCAGGGCTGTAACTTGCATGAACCCACTTCTTTCTTTCAGTTTCGTTGGTAGGGAATGCACCAATACTTAAATATAACTGTCCGAGCGCTGTAACAGCGCTTTAGTTGTGATGAGCAGACGTGATTTAACGCTGCTAAAGCTTGTTAGGATGTACGGAAAGAGGTGAATTAACTTTAGGACAGTACAGTTACGCCACTTGTCTCGTCACTGACACTTGGTCACAGGAGAACAGATCGTCGGTTGCTCCACTCAAACAGGGAATGTATAACTCCACGTTTTAGCCGCTGCTAAAGATTTTACTCATTTTACTCATCGCCCTCTTCCTCTCTAATCATGTCGAAAAACTCGGAAGTGCACCCCCTCCTGGCGACAGCAGAGTAATGTCACTTCCTTGCAGAGGAAAACGCCACCAGGGCTGTCGCTAGAATGTGGAAGTGTGAGAATTGTGTATTATATTGAAAATTTATCGAACATTTCTTATCGCTCTATCAAGGAAAGTTATATTGCAATAATTATCATTATCGTTTTATCGCCCAGCCCTAGTTTTAGCATATACTTCATGGAGTTCACACACAGAAACTGAACGTTATTCACATAGCACTTCTCTAAGGCAGACCTACAAAATACTTCAAAATAAATAAACAAAAGTAATAAGAAACACACACACACACACACACACACACACACACACACACACACACACACACACACACACAGTTGAGCACATTACCTAATGTCACAACCCAAAAAGGCTGAGAATAAAATTTTATAAATAAAATAAAATTTTCACAATTTAGGGGCACACAAAGTCTCCCTTTCCCTTCAGTTTAGTTCTAGGAACAAGAAGCCCTTTATTAGAGGATCTCAGCGACCTGGTACTTGCAGGGGAAACTTAAAAATTCACAAATGTATTCAGGAGCATCACAGTCTAACGCTTTATAAGTTCTTTAAAATCAATCCTGAATTCTACTGGCAACCAGTGAAGAGAGACTAGCACTGGGCTGATGTGTTTCCTATGTCTAGTTTTTGTTAAGAGCTGAAGAGCTGCATTTTGAACCAAATGAAGTCTTGCCAAAACTCCTTGACTAAGACAAATATATAAGGTACTGCAATAGTCCAAATGAAATGAGACAAATGCACAAATAACTGTCCTTAAAAAGACAAAATCCATCAGATCCTTGCAATTATCATCATCTGAATAAAAATGGAAAGACATATCAAAATGTCTGATTAAAACGTCAATAAATAAAATAGGGCCAAGAGTGGAACCCTGGGGGGCCCACATGTAAGATCAGCCACAGAAGACATCACATTTGCAGTAGACACTAAATACTCTGTATTAGATAAATAATACAAAACACCCTATCGCAGCCCCTAAAATGCCAACCCATTCATTAAGCCTGCTTTTCAAGATATCATGATTCACTCTATTAAAGGCTGCGCTAAGATCAAGCAGTACCAGAAGAGATGCCTCCCCGGAGTCAGGGTGCTTTAAAACATAACTTGAAATTCTCACGAGAGCTGTTTCTGTGCTATGCTTTTGGCAGATTCCAGACTGAAACATTTCAAAAATGCTTTTTGCCTCCAATGCATGCAGAAGTTGATCTGAAACCACTTTCTCCAAAATATGAGATGGGTCTAAAGCTTGAACAATCATCAGGGTCAAGGCCCAGTTTCTTAAGAAGAGGTTGCACACTGGCCACTTTAAAACAATTGGAAACACACCCTGAGGTAAGAGAAAGATGAGGACTAAAATTCTAAAACGTGTTTT